TATAATTTAAAATTTTAATACAAATGCATTGTAATTAATATAAACATTTATATAAAAAATATTTAAATTTATATTTTATATGTTTACTTTTCTTTAAATTGATTTTATTTTATTAATCCTTATATATTATTAAATAAACATTAAATGTAAGGAATTTCTTATTATATATATTATTTTAATGTTGTACATAAAATGATTACAATATTCATTTCTTCTACAACATTTATTTTTATTCGTAGTGCTGAAATATTAACGCTTATGGTTAATGGTAAGGTTAGTGTAATTCAAATATGAGCGGGAATAGATCCAATCTTGAAGACCAATCAAAATTGGACATCGTATGGCTTGACTCTGATTGAGGGTCTCTAGTTTCTGAACACAGCCATGCTGTCGCATGAAGTTGACCGCGTACAGTGAGTGAGATAGTTCATCTGCGGTTATAATCCGGTGATTGTCAAATGCGAGCAGATGCGAGTATCGGTTGATATCACTGATATCAGTCGTTGTTGGTCGTTGTCTATTTCTGTTTGACTTCTATTTGAAATTTTCCGACGGGCGATGCTATAGATCAAATAGCATTGTTCTCGAAATCGCGATTCGCGGTGCTGTTCTTGAAAGACCGTTTTGGAAAAATTCGATGTGATTGTCGTTCTGTCATTTAAGTGAGTAACCTTATACCTGTCAAATTTGCCCCAACTTTGCCCTAACTCGACTTACCGCCCTTACTGGACGTTTGTATTAATACCCTCGGATTTTCAAGAAAGGATTGCGTAGTAATAGAGAAGGTGGCGAAAGATGTTAGCCAGCAGCCAGCCGCAACGTAGCCACATGTTTTGCCGTTCGCTAGCCTACCCCAATGTTGACACATTGAAGAACGATCACTGAACGAGTGGATCTCGAGCTGCCTTGTGGGGTGACGATGCAAAATAATTCCAAGACCAGAGAGATGTTTATCGTCCGAGCTTTGGAAAAAATACTGGCCGATCGAGATGTCAAGAGATCGCACCTCTCGCAGCTCAGGAAGTCCTGCGAGTCTGCGCTCGGTAAAGAAAGAACTTCAAACAGCATATGTTTCTCATAGCTATAAGTGACAATTACTGACTAAATTTATTACTCACTTATTTCTATCTTGTAGAGGATCTTCGCAACGAGATTAAAGATGTACCAGCTGCGCAGGGTGAAGAGGTAACCTCGAATGCCCTTCCACAGCCCAAGAGCGACTCAAATGTCATCACAGCTGAGAAGTACTTTTTGCCATTTGAGTTAGCGTGCCAGAGCAAGTCACCGCGGATTGTGGTGACAGCGCTGGACTGCCTGCAGAAGTTAATTGCATACGGCCATCTTACCGGCAATGTACCTGATTCGACGGAGCCTAATAAGCTGCTGATTGTGCGCATTGTCGAAACAATTTGTGGCTGCTTTACAGGTCCACAGACTGATGAGGGTGTGCAACTGCAGATTATTAAAGCCCTGTTGACTGTGATGACAAGTCAGCATGTGGAGGTGCACGAGGGCACAGTGCTGTTGACAATTCGTACCGTTTACAATGTTTACTTGGCATCACGCAACTTAGTGAATCAGACAACAGCCCGTGCAACTCTAACGCAGATGATCAATGTGATCTTTGCGCGAATGGAAACTCAGGCAGAAGAAGAGAATGTGAGAATCGATGGAGAGCATCAACAGGAGGTTCCTGTCATAGTGAATGGCGAAGCTGAAACCGAGTTAAATACAGAGAATGCTTCTGGCAACGATGTCGTTGATCCTCAAATAATTGTCAAGAGTATCCTTGACGATGTAGTGAAATCCGTGGTGCCATTAGAAGAGGAAGTCAGTCTGGAGAACAACGGCAGTCCAGAGGACAATGGTGATGAGGCGGTCGCTGAGAATGACAATATGGTAACTGCCAAATTCACTCATGTGCTGCAAAAGGATGCGTTCCTGGTGTTTCGTGCTCTCTGCAAGCTCTCTATGAAACCGCTGCCAGATGGCACTCCCGACCCGAGATCGCACGAGCTCCGTTCTAAAATCTTGTCGCTTCAATTGCTCTTGGGAATCCTGCAGAATGCCGGTCCGGTATTGCGCTCCAACGAGATGTTCGTTATCGCCATTAAACAGTACTTGTGCGTCGCGCTGTCGAAGAACGGCGTGTCTTCGGTGCCGGAGGTGTTTGAATTGTCGTTGGCACTGTTCCTAGCGCTGCTCGCGCGTTTCAAGATGCATCTCAAGATGCAGATTGAGGTATTTTTCAAGGAAATCTTCATGAACATCCTTGAGACTTCCAGCAGCTCCTTCGAGCACAAGTGGATGGTCATACATGCGCTTACGAGGATCTGCGCGGACGCCCAGAGCGTCGTCGACATCTATGTTAACTACGATTGTGATCTTTCTGCAGCAAACCTCTTTGAAAGGCTTGTCAACGATCTCTCTAAAATCGCTCAAGGTCGTCAGGCTCTGGAGCTAGGTGCGTCGCCAAATCAGGTGCGTTATGAGTAAAGAGAGAGAATGACAGAATAGATATGTGTGTTATTTAGAACAGAAAATGTTTTTTTTTTTTTTTTTTTTTCAAGCAAAGCAATATACAAGATGAGCGATTTTAATGCCCTCACTTAAATACTTTTTCCTTCTGTCTTTTCCAAAAAAAGTTTCAAATACAAGTTGTATGGTCTAAAGGAAGATAAATAATAGTAAAATCAATTTTTTAAAAATCGATTTTTCAAAAACGCATAAAGGTTATCATTATTTTTAAAAATAGAATTGTATTGTAAAACAATAATTATAATTTGAATTAAAATTGTATAATTTTTTTACATAGTAATTCTTCTATTTACTTTGTGTATAAAAGAGTTATCAAAAAATCAATAATTTACGATATAATAACACAGAATAATGAGATGAATCAATTGGTGTAAAAAAAATATGGAATTGCTTTTCAAAAAATATATATTCTATAACTGCATATTGCGCAAATTGCATAATTTTTGTTAAAAGCAATAATGTATTTTTATATTAATTTATTATTTCATTAGTTTGTACATAAAAGTATTAAGATACGATTGTTAAAAATTAATAGTTTATAAGGTACTTAATATGCCAGAATAAAATATAAAATATAACGTAAATTATTGATTTTCTGATAACTCTATTTTAATACTTTTATATAAATTATAAGTTTTTATGAGTTACTAAAAGAATCATATTTAAAAAAATCATAGTTACATTGAAAAAATGGCAATGACATTTAAGTGACCTTAAACATCGATTTTTTTGAAAATTGTCTTTATCATTTGTCCTCCTTTCAAATTTTATAACTTTTGTCTGAAATGTTTTTCATAAAAGATATAGGAAAAAAAATATTTAGTGAGGACATTAAAATGGCCTATCTTATATAGTTTTGTCCTTAATATAGTATCTTGCCCTTTCAGGAAAAATCCATGCGTATCCGTGGTCTCGAATGTCTCGTGTCTATTCTGAAGTGTATGGTGGAATGGAGTCGGGATCTCTATGTGAATCCCAGTGTGCCAGCGGACCAGCAACCGTTGTCAGATCCATCGGATACAGCGCCTGAAACTCCGTTGCCGCGTTATGGCAGCGCCGGTAGCCTCTCGTCGGCCAATTCCAGTTTGACCGGCAACAAGGAGGTCCCGGACTCGCCTGAACAATATGAAGTGCAGAAGCAACAGAAGGAGGTTTGGGAGACCGGCATCGAGATCTTCAGTCGGAAGCCTGGTAAGGGCGTACAGTACTTGCAGGAGCAAGGGCTGCTCGGTAGTTCGCCGGAGGACGTGGCTAGGTGGCTTCACCTGGACGAGCGGCTCGATAAAACTGCTATTGGGGACTTTTTGGGCGACCATAATCATAACCAAGTAATGAGGAGAAAAATTACAATTAATAGATTATATATATTAACTGTAAATATAAATAAACCATTTTTGATCATTCTAAATCATGTTATGATTGCTGTACGATAATTATGTTGACAATTTAAACGATGACTAATTTTGTTATACCGTTTATTTACAGGTAATGTACCATTACATTGATCAGATGAACTTCGCCGAACGCGATCTAGTAACTGCACTCAGGTATTTCCTGGAAGGTTTTCGGTTGCCCGGTGAGGCACAGAAGATCGATCGGCTGATGGAAAAGTTTGCTAGTCGTTATTGCGAATGTAACCCTAACAATGGCCTGTTTACAAGTGCGGATACAGCTTACGTTCTCGGCTTTTCAATCATAATGTTAACCACTGATTTGCACTCGCCGCAGGTTAAGAATAAAATGACCAAAGAACAATACATTAGGTACGTACAATAATTTTTAATATAATTTTTAAAAAATATATGTATAATAAGAACTTAATTTTTATTATACATATATATATATATATATATAAAGTTTATAATTACTGTAAAAGTTATAGTAAAAATTAGTTTTTTAATTAAATATTAAATATTTCGACAGTTGTTACGAGAATATGCAATAAAAAATAAATCCCTTTATTTAAAAAACTCAAGCCACGTGAAGACTCATTGTTAGTTCCAAGTCAAACTATCTCGTGCATCTAATGTCCATCTAATGCATTATTTAAATTCCAAAATGTTGCTGTTGAGGAAAATTTTACTAAAAATTTATAGCATACATAATTATACTATACTAAAAATTTATAGCATATATAATTAACTATACATAACTATTTATTATAATTACTGTAAAAGCAAACATTTTGGAATAGCCTCGATAATCAGCAACTTTATATATATATATAAAGTTGCTGATTATCGAGGCTATTCCAAAATGTTGCTTTTGAGAAAAATTTAATTAAAAAACTAATTTTTACTATAACTTTTACAGTAATTATAATAAATAGTTATGTATAGTTAATTATATATGCTATAAATTTTTAGTATAGTATAATTATGTATGCTATAAATTTTTAGTAAAATTTTCCTCAACAGCAACATTTTGGAATTTAAATAATGCATTAGATGGATATTAGATGCACGAGATAGTTTGACTTGGAACTAACAATGAGTCTTCACGTGGCTTGAGTTTTTTAAATAAAGGGATTTATTTTTTATTGCATATTCTCGTAACAACTGTCGAAATATTTCGAAACACATTGGTTATAAACACTTTATAAAAAATTTCTTGAGTTAAATGTTTTTAAAATTTAGATATTAGATACCTTGTTTATGCATTTATTCCTACAATGTTCAAAATATCTTCCAAGTTCAGTTTGACAAGAATCTTAATCGTATAAAAACTGAAAATAGCATTTCTGCAGCATTCTCGATAAGTCATTCTCTGTGCAATACATCTTGAGTTAAGTGGTATCTAAACTTCGAAGTTTTTTTTATAAAAAACTGTTTTAAAAATGTCTTGATAAGAGAATGCAATAAATACGGAGTTCCATTACAGAACTTTATGATCAACTTTATACTCAGTCCGATCAAACTTATGCCTATTTAATGTATAAATAATCTAATGTATTATGCCTATCTAATGTATAAATATTAAATTTTTACCCAATAACTTCTATTTAAATTATAATAGAAATCCGGTTAAATCACGAATGATATAGATAAACGAAAAGAAGCCTTATTCAGTCTTATTTTCTATTTAACATTTTTCTTTAAAATGTTTTATTTTTTTAATATATTGTTCTTTGAACACTGATATATATATATATATATATATATATATATATCAGAGTATATATATATATATGTAAATATATAATATATATAGTTATTAATGTTGAGAGAACTTTATTATATTTTATTTCAGTTTATTTTTTATTGATAAACTTAATTTAAATGTATTTTTACTAATTTTTACTATATTTTATTATTATTAATATAATTATTAATACAATTATTAATATGATATTAATATAACTATTATTAACATAATTAACGACTAAAAGAATGTATAGTTTTATACTGAATGTATCTTATTCATAGACTTTCCATGTGTCTTTAACCATAAACTTAAAAAGTCTTTTTTATTTTTATTTTCTTTCATCAGGCTTAATCGGCGTATCAGCGACAACGAGGATCTTCCTGAGGAATACCTTTCTAGGATCTATGACGAAATCGCCGGTAACGAGATTAAGATGAAGTCGAATCCTAATAATAGCCGACTTGCTGGCAAACAGCTGATTTCTAGTGAGAAGAAACGACGGTTGTTATGGAATATGGAAATGGAAGTAATTTCTACAGCGGCTAAGAATCTGATGGAATCTGTCAGTCATGTTCAGGCACCATTTACTACGGCGAAACATCTGGAACACGTGCGGCCGATGTTCAAAATGGCCTGGACGCCATTCCTCGCGGCCTTCAGCGTTGGACTTCAGGATTGCGACGATCCAGAGATTGCGTCGCTCTGCTTGGACGGTATCAGGTAAGAAGAGCTCGAAATAAAAAAAAAATCAGATTTATACCACGTCATGTTTTTCGTGTTTTATACAGTCTGTTCAGCGTAACGATCCGGACGATTTTTAAGACTCTTTCGGTAGTTCAAAAAAAAAGATTGATAGAAGGATTTTTTTCTACTTCACGCAGACTATAATGTGCAGTAAATAAAAATTGAAAAAAAAAATCTTTTTTAATAAAAAAATTAGTTACCTGAATTTTTTAAATGGAATTCCTCATTTTTTTATTGCATATTCTTTTAGCTTATTTTGAGAACTTTTCAAAACATTTAAATAAAATGTTTTTTGGTTAAATAAATTTTGAGTTATGAAGCTTGAAAATTAAAGTACCGCCGGCGTTATCCGAGGTGGCTGAACAATGGCTAAAACTTTTAGAATGTTGATCAGGATCATGACCTTGATAACACAAGTCATGACCATTGGAAGTTGTTCTTTTTTAAAAAAATAAGAATAATTTTCAAAAATAAAAATAAAAGCAACAACCTTTAATGATCTTTAATGGCCTTAACCTTGACATATGTTGTCAAGGTCATGATAGTGAACAACATTAAAAAGGCTTTAGCCATTGTTCGGACACCTTGGATAATGCTAATGGTCTAATGTCGGCGGTACTATAACTTTCAAGCTTCATTATTCGAGATTTATTTAACCAAAAAACACCTAATTGTAAGTATTTTGGAAAGCTCTCAAAATAAGCTACAAGAATACGCAATAAAAAATGGGAAGTTCCATTTAAAAAATTCAAGACCTTGATTTTTTTTATTAAAAAAGATTTTTTTTCCAATTTTTATTGATTGCACATTATAGTCTGCGTAAAGTAGAAAAAAATCCCCGTATCAATCTTTTTTTTAAACTACCGAAAGTGTCTTAAAAATCGCTCGGACCGTTACGTTGAACATCTTGTATATTATTTATATGATGTTTTAGATGTGCCATTCGTATCGCCTGCATCTTTCATATGAGCCTAGAACGCGATGCTTATGTACAAGCTTTGGCGAGATTCACTTTGTTGACGGCCAACTCCCCTATTACCGAAATGAAGGCGAAGAACATCGATACCATCAAAACTCTCATCACGGTGGCTCACACCGACGGCAATTATCTAGGCAGTTCGTGGCTCGACGTCGTCAAGTGCATCTCTCAGCTGGAGTTGGCGCAACTGATAGGCACTGGAGTGCGGCCACAATTGTTGGGCCCACCATCAAAACCGCACTTTCCTTCGCCGTTAGCGAACTTTGGCAATCTCGCGCACTCCACCAACTCGCACCAGACCAACAATCTCAATTTGAGCTCGTTGGATCCTAGCGTGAAGGAATCCATCGGTGAAACCAGTTCGCAGAGCGTCGTCGTAGCCGTTGATCGCATCTTCACCGGCTCGACGAGACTGGATGGTGATGCCATTGTCGAATTTGTCAAAGCTCTCTGCCAGGTCTCTTTCTCTTAAGATTAATCATTTTCACACGATGTAGTTGCATAATAATAAATATTTAACATTGATAAACAATTCTTAGGTATCCCTTGAGGAACTGGCACATCCCACGCAACCGCGCATGTTTTCTCTTACGAAGATCGTCGAGATCTCATACTATAACATGGGTCGTATTAGGCTGCAATGGTCCAGGATCTGGCAGGTCCTTGGTGATCACTTTGACAGAGTGGGATGCAGTCCTCGGCAGGATATCGCGTTTTTCGCGGTGGATTCTCTGAGACAGCTAGCTACCAAGTTTATCGAAAAGGGCGAGTTTGCCAACTTCAGATTCCAAAAAGACTTTCTCAGGCCATTTGAGCACATTATGAAGAAGAACAGGTAATTTGATTTACTTTTAATTAATTTGTAATTGCAATTATATAATGAATGTAATCCAACATGTTATAATATAAAATATTTTTTATAACAAAACCAATTTAGAATATGTTGAATATGTATTTACAAAAATTTTGTATAATTTCGTATGATATATTTTAATAATTGTTTAATGTAATTCAGATCGCCTGTGATTAGAGATATGGTTGTGAGATGCGTGGCGCAGATTGTTCACTCGCAAGCGCCGAATATTAGATCCGGTTGGAAGAACATTTTCAGCGTTTTCCACCACGCGGCCAGCGATCGTGATGAATCTGTTGTTGAATTGGCCTTTTCCATGACCGGCAAGATTATTAGTGAGTTAAATTTTTGTGCCTATTTTAAGAGAATGTCACTGTCATCGTTTTTCTAGTTATCATCTAGATTGATATATTTCAGATAGAACTAGTAAATTGATTTATGACCAATAAACGAGCAAAGATTTTAGATGTTGCTATAAATTCCTATATTTTCATATACAATAATTCAATAATCTACAATATCACATGTATAATAATTTATTTAATTATTGTATAGATGTGAAAATATAGGAATTTATTCCAACATCTAAAACCTTTGCTCGTTTATTGGTCATAAATCAATTTACTAGTTCTTGATAAATACGATCGATATTTTTATTAATTATTTTAAATAGATTACGTTAATTCTATAGTCATTATTATATTGAGAATAATATGTCCGCAGACGAGCTGTATGCAGAGGACTTCAGTATCATGGTGGATTCTTTCCAAGACGCCGTCAAATGTCTGAGCGAATTCGCGTGCAACGCGTCTTTTCCAGACACCAGCATGGAGGCAATTCGATTAATACGTTCTTGCGCTTCTTATATTGATGCGAATCCTAATCTGTTTGCCGAGGGTATGATGGACGACAGCGGAATGGTCTCCGAGGAAGATCGAGCCTGGGTATCGTTATCTTAATTAACTCGTTTATTAGCATTTGAATTGTTCAAAAAACTGTTTTCTTTCATTTTTTTTTTCTTTTAGGTGAGAGGATGGTTCCCACTGTTGTTCGAATTATCCTGCGTTGTGAGTAGGTGTAAGTTGGACGTTAGGACGCGCGCGCTGACAGTACTCTTCGACGTCGTCAAAACTCACGGTGCATCCTTCAAGCCTCATTGGTGGAAAGATCTCTTCCAAGTCCTTTTCAGGATCTTTGACAACATGAAGCTGCCCGAGCAGCATACTGAGGTTCGTAAAATTTCTATAAAATTTTAATTAAATGCATTTCTTCAGAGATTACTTATATTTACTTAAGATTTACTTAAGATTTAAATGATCTATTAAATGTTGTAGAAAGCTGAGTGGATGACAACAACGTGCAATCACGCGCTATATGCTATCGTGGATGTGTTTTCGCAGTTTTATGACACCCTGGGCCCCTTGTTGCTAGAGCAGCTCTACTTCCAGCTTCTCTGGTGTGTTCAGCAGGATAATGAACAGTTGGCACGATCGGGCACGAATTGCCTGGAAAATCTGGTCATCAGTAACGGCATCAAGTTCGACGAACAAACTTGGGAGAAGACTTGTCAATGCGTTTTGGACATTTTCGAAAGCACTCTACCGTCCGCGCTGCTCACATGGAAACCACACTCGTCGAACAAGGAGTCGGATCTTGATGTGATTACCGGCGAGTCCGACGGTCTTCATGCCGGTATCCTGAAGAGGAGCAATAGCGCGCAAAGCTTGAACACCGAGACCATGCCGAAGGCGAAGCTTTTCTCCGCGTTACAAATCAAATGCGTGGTCCAGCTTGAATTAATACAAACCATCGACAATATTGTTTTTTACCCAGCAACGTCGCGCAAGGAAGATCAGGAGAATCTGGCGCTTGCGCAGGCCGACATGCTGAACGGCAAGTCGTCGGAGCTTGTAAAGTGAGTGCGTCCCATTGCTGCGTCGATATTTTAAAATTGTACAACGCACAGTGCACACGCAACGTGAATTGTTTTTCAGGGCCGGCGCTGATCAGCAAAAGGAGGAACAGGGCATGTATTGCGCCCTGACAACGAATCATCTCCTGCAGCTGGTGGAATGCCTGCTGCGGTCGCACCGCTTCGCCAAGAGCTTCAATTCGAACCACGAGCAACGCAACGTGCTGTGGAAGGCCAGCTTTCGAGGTAACATGAAGCCGAATCTGTTGAAGCAGGAGACGCAGTCGCTCGCTTGCGCGCTGCGTATTCTCTTCAAGATGTACAGCGACGAGGCGCATCGCGCGGACTGGTCCAAGGTCGAGACGCGACTGGTCGAGGTGGCGTGCGAAGCCCTCGAGTATTTCCTGTCGCTCGCTAATGAGGCCCACCGCGACGCCTGGACCCCGATTCTGTTGCTGCTGCTCACCCGAATCCTAAAGATGAGCGATCATCGCTTCGCAGTTCACGCTTCCACCTGCTATCCCTCCCTCTGCGAGGTCATGTGCTTCGATCTCAAGCCCGAGCTCAGGTCGGTGCTGCGCAGATTTTTCCTCAGAATTGGACCAGTCTTCAGAATCACGCAGCAATAGTGATGGGTCACCTGACAGGTATTCAGAATCGTCTCGAACGGGGTCGAATGATTGGCCGCAACATTATTCGCAAAAAGAGACGGATGTTACGTGTGTGTACCCATTTTCATTCCGGCGATAAAATTGTAATTAAATGTAAAGCGCGGTTAGATACTTTGACCCGTATTAAATTATTTATATACGATCCGACGACTTTCACGTAAATAAATTTGTACACATCGAATTTTCTTAGCATGTCCGCGTTATATTTTACATTCACATCGACGCACCGATTCTCCATTTCACTCTTCTATGTAGCATCGCACATAAAAATGTGATTCGGATTTTATCATATTTGTCCAATGTATATATTCGTAAGGTATTTAATTACATTAAGAGGATGCTGAAAGATCGGCCCAATTTGTACGATGTCGATAAAGCAGTCTGCTCAATTCATGACAATATTTGATTAATATGAAAATTCTACAGTTTATATGTGCAAATTGAAAGTATAGCACCCTGCGGACAATAAAAAAAAAAACACTAACTTGTTAGAACTACGATAAAAGCCTATAAAAAAAGTTATTCACTTTTAAAGGTTTCATGCAGATTTGCACATCTATATGAAATCTTTAAAAATGAATAACTTTTTATAGACTTTTATCCTAGTTCTAACAATTCAGTGTTGTTCTTTTTTATTGTCCGCAGGGAGCCATACTTTCAATTTGCACATATAAACCGTAGAATTTTAATATTAATCAAATATTGTCATGAATTGAGCAGACTGATTTATCGACATCGTACAAATTGGGCCGATCTTTCAGCATCCTCTTAACTTGAGCACATGACAATTCGTTATTAATCAATGTAGTCTTTTAAAATAATTGAATAACGTTTTATTGATTAATATTTTATTTATATCGATAAACTATAATATAAATAATGTTCATGTTCACTTCTCACATTTAGTGCTAAAAATGCGACAAGAATGCACAGTACTATGCATACCTTCGTGCAACGTTTGTTGCAGAAATCGTTGGATCATATGTGAACAATTTAACATCACATGTACACATGCGTCTATAATGTAATATAACGGAGTATATATATATATATATATATATATATATATATATATATATATGCGATAAGTGATACGGGAAATATTGGGAATTGGCAATATGTATCTTCAATCAAAAGTCGATCATAAGATTTAGGATTCAGGTGGAGAAATTATTCTTGCGGATTGTTAATTTCGCACGCTATTAAACTTATTAAGTCCCAGATGACTTCTACACGTTTCGCCTGTTTTAAATCCTTGTAACTTTCAATCAAAATTTTTAGACAATAATTGGTGCTTAGTTCTTTTCGAAAATCTAGCTGATAGAAAAATAGGAATAATATAAAGATTGAAAGTGAAATAACAAAATAGTAGGGAATAAAAAAAAGTAATTTCTTCTGAATAAATATAATCATTATTTGAGTCTAAAATAATTATTGATCTATAATAATTACTCGATTTATTCTACCTAAGAAGGTAGATGAATTTATTTATTAGTTGAATATTTGTTAATAAAAAGGCAGGGGTTACTTTCTTTACCTCTTTCAATCTTTAAGGTGCGTCCAAATTGTCGAGTCGAACTTCGGACCGAACTTTGAGCCGCGAGCATTTTAGCATGCACTTCTTTTGCTGAGTCGTAAGACAAATGCTCGCCGAAATGCTCGTGGCTCGAAATTTGGCTCGACAATCTGGACGCATCTTTTTTATGTATTTTTTTCGGACATCCATCACCGACTAGATTTTCGCAACTCTTTACTTCTAAACTACTGATTTTCTAAAAATCTTGATTAAAAATCTGAATAAAATGATTTATAACAAAAAAGTGCGTAGGAGTCACTTGAAACTTAATGCTGTTTTGAAGAAAAAAGATCACTAACTGACTATGCATTCATTAGTGATGTCTGATTTAAAGATCTGACAGTTAGTCAAGGGGCAGTTTCGTTAGCAGCTAAATCATTTAGTTTGTTAATAAATTTATTTAAACGTGTGATAAAAATTGAAAGAGAGAGAAAGAGGAAGGGAAAAAGAGAGCCGAAAGAGGACTGTCATGGATTCTCACGTGTCCCGAAACGCCGTGAGATATGTATACATTATAAATAGCAATTGCGAAGTATTTAGGTGTCGTGAAACGATAGTATTTGTAATTTCAGAGAGAGAGAGGAAATGAGAGGCGAAAGAGATAGTATGTGTGTATGCGAGCAAAAGAGGGAGAGATAAGTGCTATTGTCAATACGTAGAAAATCTCTAAGACATCCGAGAAAAGACGTTAATCAACATTAGAATCATTGCGTATGTATATTTGTGTCAAGAAACAAAATAATATTGAACGCTTAAATAACTTATATATATATTATATATATATAATAGATAAATAAATAAAAAATATATATATATATAGCAATTTTGTGTGAGCAATTCTCTGACGTGGTTCGAGATCTTATTTAAATAAATTCGATGAAAAAATTAATGTTTTATATCTCGCCGTGCAAAATTATCCTTTTCCTTATCTTTCTTCCTTGAATATCCCTCTTTCTCAGATTTTTTTATAATCACATTATTTGTACATACATTCCGCATGTAAAATAAAACAAGCATATACGATTAAGCTTCAATCAAGTCTGTCAGACTGCACATTGAAGATTCAAGATTACGAACTGAAGATCAGAACTCAATTATATTGTTTTAATTTTAATCCATTTCATCTTAATTGGTCAAATTTTCAATTCACAATTCGTAATCCAATGCATAGTCTGATACAAATTTTAAAAGTTGGAGATAAAAAGGGAAAAAATAAAAACAATTTAGCTGTAAAAAATGAATTTTTTTATTTTTTCTCCTTTTTGAATTTTTTCTTTACATTATTTTTTATTATTTTTCGTTGCTTATATTCTTTTTCTTTATATGTTTTTAAAGGAGTAGAGCAATGATAAACTCTTTATCTATATCTATATGTCTAATATGGACTGCTTTGGGGCCGTCCATATATTACGTAAGCATGATTGGGGGAGGGGGGGAGTCAGTCAAATTTTGACAAATAATTACATGAGAAGAGGGGGAGGGGTCGTACATATCCTTACGTAAGATTTTTCATGTCTGCTGCTGTCATGAAAAACGAGCAATATTAACTTTACATCAAGCATAATCGGAAAAATTTTATACGTAATTGGGGGGGGGGG